ATAAAAGATCCTTACTATCCTGACTGGTAAGGAAGAAGTTAAACTGACACTGTTTGCAGATGACATGATGTTTTACATAAAAAACCCTAAAGAATACATCCCAAAACTATTATAACTAATAATTGAATTCAGCAAAGTTGCAGGAATACAAAATTAATACACAGAAATCTGTTGCATTCCTATACACTAATGATCAACTAGCAGAAACAGAAATCAGGAAAGCAATTCCATTCAAAATGGAATCCAAAGGAATAAAATACCTAGGATGAAACCTAACCAAGTAAGTGAAAGACCTATACCCTGAAAAATACAAGACACTCATGAGAGAAATTAAAGAAAACACCAATAAATGGAAATACATCCTGTGCTCATGGATAGGAAGAATTAATATTGTCAAATGGCCATCCTGCCCAAAGCAATCTACAGATTCAATGCAATCCCTATGAAAATACCAACGGCATTTTTCAACAAACTAGAAGAAATAATTCTAAAATTCATATGGAATCACAAAAGACCCCGAATCACCAAAGCAATTCTGAGAAGGAAGAATAAAGCTGAGAGGATTATGCACCCAAACTTCGTGCTCTACTACAAAGCTACAGTAATCAAGACAATTTGGTACTGGCACAAGAACAGACACATAGATTAATGGAACAGAATTGAGTACCCAGATATAAACCCAATCATATATGGTCAATTAATACATGATAAAGGAGCCATGGATATACAATGGGGAAATGAAAGCCTCTTCAGCAACTGGTGTTGGAAAAATTGGACAGATTCATGTAAGAGAATGGAACTCGATTACTGTCTAACTCCATACAGAAAAGTAAACTCAAAATGGATCAAAGATCTGAATGTAAGTCATGAAACCATAAAACTCTTAGGAAAAAACATAGGCAAAAATCTCTTGAATATAAACATGAGCATCTTTTCCCGAACATATCTCCTCAGGCAAGGGAAACAAAAGCAAAAATAAACAAATGGGACTATATCAAACTAATAAGCATCTGTAGAGCGAATGATACCATCAATAGAACGAAAAGGAATCCTACAGTACAGATGAATATATTCGTAAGTGACATATCTGACAAGGGGTTAACATCCAAAATATATAAAGACCTCATATGCCTCAACACTCAAAAAGCAAATAACCTGTTCAAAAAATGGGCAGAGGATCTGAACAGACACTTCTCCAAAGAAGAAATTCAGATGGCCAACAGGCACATGAAAAGATGCTCAACATTGCTAATTATCAGGGAAATGCAAATTAAAACTACAATGAGATATCACCTCACACCAGTTAGGATGGCCAACATCCAAAAGACAAGGAAGAAGAAATGCTGGCAAGGATGCAGAGAAAGGGGAACCCTCCTACACTGCTGGTGGGAATGCAAATTAGTTCAACCATTGTGGAAAGCAATATGGATGGAAGTTCCTCAAAAAAATCTAAAAATAGAAATACCATTTGACCCAGGAATTCCACTCCTAGGAATTTACCAGAAGAAATCAAGATCCTTGTTTCAAAAGGACATATCACTGCACTATTTACAACAGCCAAGATATGGAAGCAACTTAAGTGTCCATCAATAGATGAATGGATAAGGAAGATGTGGTACATATACACAATGGAATATTATTCAGCCATAAGAAGAAAACAAATCCTACCATTTGCAACAACATGGATGGAGTTAGAGGGTATTATGCTCAGTGAAATAAGCCAGGTGGAGAAAGACAAGTATCAAATAATTTCACTCATCTGTGGAGTATAACAACAAAGCAAAACTTAAGAAACAAAACAGCAGCAGACTCACAGACTCCAAGAAGGGACTAGCAGTTACCAAAGGCGAGGGTTGGGGGAGGGTTGGTGGAGAACAACAGAGAAGGGAATTGATGGGCATTATGATTGGCATACATGATGTCAGGCGAGCGGTGGTCACAGGGAAGACAGTGTAGCACAGAGAACACAAGTAGTGACTCTGTGGCATTTTACTATGCTGATAGACAGTGACTGCAATGGGGTGTGGGGGGTCTTGATGCTATGGGTGATTGTAGTAACCACAATATTTTTCATGTGAAACCTTCATAAGAGTGTATATCAGTGATACCTTAATAAAAAAATAAAAATAAAAACCAAAAAGATGTATTCTTGGCTTAGAACTCCCTATCACCTGTAGGATAAAATCGAAGCTCATTTTGCCACTAGGTCCTTAAGCTCTAGCCCTGGTCCATCTTTCCAGTCATAATTTTTTTACTGTCCATATGTTCCCTGGGTTGTGGTCAAGCTGGACAGCTCTTTCTTTCCTCCAACATAGGTCTTGCTTTCTTACCTTTCTTTTCTTTTCTCTGCAAACTTTCTCATCATTCTGATATTTTAGGTCAAGTTCCACATCTTTCATTAAGCTTTTCCATATGTGAATTTTTTTCCCCTTGAATCAGTATTACTTTATGCTTATTTCTCTCTTATCACATTTTGCTCTATATTATAATGACTTGTGTACTGGCTTTTTCTTCCCCTGCACTAATCACATCTTTTTTTTTTACAACTATAGAAAGTTTATAGCAACACCACTATAGATGATTTGACAGCTTAGCCCTTACTTACAAAGTGATTAACAACTATAAAATAAGTTACATTGTCATTGGTTTTGGCTCAGATGTTTAAATACTTGAACAACTTGGAAAGATGTTTTGTTTTGCTGTTGTTTTGTGTGGGCAGGAATGTTGTTGGGCTTTATAAATGAAGGGTCAGTTCTGCTGATTTTGATATACAAAACCAATCCCACTCTCTTTTTTACCAAAAAGAAAATGGTACATTTGTGGGAGTTGTTGTGTTGTCCATAGTTCTGTTCAGACCTAAGGGATAGCTCTGTAATGATTTTAGACCTATTTAGTTGTTTTGTTTTGTTTTTTTAAAAGATTTTTCTCTCCTTTACAGAAGCATGTTAAGAAATGTTGCCTTGGTCTACAGACTAAGTAAAAGGTCAACATACACAGAAGCAGCGATGTATTCCAGTGAATACAAATCTGTTAAAAAAAAAAAGGCATGGATATTTTTAAATGGTTAACCAATCATTTTTATCTAATCTTCTGGGTATTTTGGTGTTAATAAAATCTTTTTTTAGTTAACTCAGAGAACTCCAAAATTTTCAGTATTTACGATGTCAGGACATCTTATATTTTCAACACATGGGAAGGTGCACAACAAATTTAATCATTTTTGAGTCTTGAGGTATACTGACTGATGAAGCATTAGTATGTGCCTCCAGTCTGTCATGATGAAGCCCTAATGTCAATGTACAGTTGGATATTAGGGGAGGGACCAAGAAGAAAGGTTGTGTAGATTTCAGTGCCTTGGACCTATTTATCTATTGGATATAAGAAAACATTACAGCTGCGTTGTTCTTCCATCTTCCTTTCTCTAGAACTGGGCACCAGGGAAACTTGTTGGATTCCCAAAGGGTTGTCTGTATGCAGATTTCAACAAATGGGATCTGGGCTACAACAGACACACCCATTCTGTTTCATTTGAGCTGGGTTTATCCACTCTGTTCAAGGTCTTACAGTATTCAGAAGAGATAAGGATTAGTGATTACACAGTCCCTGTCAGAGTACTGGAGTAGGTTTGACTTGAACAGCTAGCTGTCTGCTCCCAAATGCTGGCTAGCCGAAAAACAGTATTTTGTATTTTCCAGTGGCATGTGGGTCCATGGACATTAAAATGTTAATTTCAGCAGATGTGTCAATTTTACTTGGGGAAAAGATGTCAGAACACTGTACCATCATCTAAAATAGCTTCTTGAAGGCACTGGGCGCCTGGATTTAGAAAGGCTAAAAATAAAAACAAACATTTTTACATACTTTTCAAATGGTGGTAAAAGATGCTATGCTTCACACAAGGACATTTTCAGTGTGCTTATTTATTATCAGGATAGTTTCTTGCATAACCCAAATGATAAACATCTCTGCCAAGTTTTCATAAATTCCCAGGGATTTTTTTCATCTGCTTCTTCCTTTCAAGCTATTTATTGATATGGGAAGACTTGTTTAAAAGTATTTTGTTATCCACATGCTTCTTAATCCAGTTTTGAGGAGAATTTGCTTTTGGCTGCTATTCAATTCTAAGGGAACAAATTAAGTAAGTGGGTGACTAGTTGGTTGGCAGCTGGGTTTTAGAAGGGCTTTGTTCTTAATCTGGTTTGCTTCAATTACACATTACTCTAATTTCCATCTTATATTCAAACAGCAAAAATAAGGTCTGCTAAATATTGTGAAAGTAAGGGGGAGGTTATAATACATGAAATAGGGTGAATATGTGGATATCAAATCACAGTACACTACTGAAAACACCTGCCTTTTTATTATTATGCAAAGATGGCAGAAATAGCACTGCCACAGTACTACATGTACAAGGTTGTATTGAGATTGAAGTCACTTTACCTGAAAAGTAACAAGTACAATGAAAACTTGATATGACATAGTTCATTCCTTAGGAGCCTCCAATGTTACCATGAGGTCCTCTGCAGATCTGAAGACAAGAGTTACCAACAATACTGACAAGGTCTGTGCCTTCATTTGTCAGCTAACCCGATGATTGATTTGTTACTTTTGTCCTTACACATTTTGTTACACCAGTATTGAGTCTTTCTAAATTTATCAGATTCTTGAGGCATTGTATAAAGAATGTTGTAATGACAGAGATTACAAATATCTTAGAAAATCAGAGAGTATGTTTATAGGAGGTTTGTATATCAAGAGTCTTTTGGTACAAGCGACAAACTAAATTTTGAGCAAAATAGGAATTTATGGCTTATATGACTATAAAGACCAGAGGTAGATTTTACTTTATATATGGCTGGAATCTCAGTAGGACTCTGTCTCCACCTTTTGACTCTTCTGCTCTCTGTGCTGGCCTCATTTTCTCTAGCTGATAGTAGAACTGGCTGCTGGAACATGGTCTACAGCATCCTTAGAGGCTTGAGACACCAAAGAGAATGCCTTTCCCTTACAGTTTGGCAAAATCCGCAGCAGGACCCTGATTGGCCCAGTCTGGGTCTTGAGCTGCTTGTTCTCAGAACTATCACCATGTGTGTACATTGGAGAGGGAGTGAGGATGAAGATGGCAGAGTGCAGAGGGAGGACTGGGCTGACTTGGATCTTACCTTCACTCCTCACCAGGACTACATGGACCAAGAATCACTACAGAAGAGGGAGGGCTGGTCCTGTAGGAGAAAGAACAACGGGTACATAAAGACCTTCAGTGTGTTGCTCTCTTTTTATTCAAGTTTCTGTCCAATGATCACTCCATAACCCCTGTCCTGTTTCAGTTCTTTTCAGAGCACTTATTCCTCTTGAAATTATCAATTCTGTTTTTGTCTGCCTCCCTTTCCACGAGAATGCATATTGCATGAGGATGAGGATTTGTCTGTTTTTGTTCATAATGTGTCCTTGGTGTCTAGAGTAGTGCCAAGTACACATAGTAGGTGCTCTGTATTTATTGAATGAATAAATTTAGTTTCTTCCAAGAGTCTCTGAGGTAGATAAGGAAGAAAATATTATATCCTTTTTACAGTTGAGATGATCTTAGAATGTTGAAATAAATACCTCAAATGTATTGGCTAATAAGTGGGTCTGTAGTGAGATTAAAATCCTTCCCTCTTCACTGTCAGTTCTGGACATTTTTCACTGTACCACCATGGACTGCCTGATCTCATCTATTTTTCTCTTCTTTGCCTTGAGAGTGGTTACAAAACATTTCTGAAATCACTGTCTGCATCACTCATCACAGCAACCAAACCACAGCTAAGACCGACTACATACAGTCTGAGAATTCTCAAGTTAGTGGTGCTAACTTTTGCTGTTTCTTAACATGATTTTTCTATGGCTATAACTGAAATGTTTATAAACCTGTTCTCCATATCCCATTCCATATATGGTCAGAATATTTAGCTAAACCCAGAACTTTGCTTAATTTGAATTAATTCATTTATTCAATATGGATTTAAATCCTGGGTCTTCTGTTTACTGATATAAGTTATTTAATCTCTCTGGGCTCAGTTTCCTCATTTGGTAAATGATAATAATAGTATCTATCTTATAAAGCTGTTCTGATGATTAAATGAGGTTATATAAAGTACCTGACATACAATAATGGCTCAATAAACAGTAGTTAGGAGCTGTATTGCTATGTTCTGTGCACTCATTTGTATGAGGAATACAATGAACAAGCCAGATTTGAGCACTTCTCCCTCAGAACTTTCAATCTTATAGGGATATAGTTAAACCAATAAACACAACATAATGTCAAGTATTCTAAGAGAAGGAAAGAGTATCAACCTTGGAGTCATCCCCTCCTCCTCTCCCCCTCTCACACCCCACATCCAGTCCATCAGCAAATCATGTCAGTTCTACCTTAACAAAACTTCAAGAATTTGGCCACATCTCTCTACCTCTACTGCTGGCACTCTGGCCCATGTCTTGATCAGCTCTCACCAGATAGCCTCCTACCTGGTCTCCCTGCTTCTACCTTTGTCTTCTACAGTTTATTCTTCACAGAGCATCCAGGGTGATCCTATCAAAACTAAGTCAGATCATGTCACTTATAGGCAGAATAATTCCCCCACCCCAAAAGATGTCCATGCCCTAATTCCTGGAACCTATAAATATGCTTCTTAGATGACCAAAGGACTTCATAGATGTGATTAAGGACCTCCAGATACAGAGATTATTCTGGATTATTCAAATGGGCCCAATCTAATCAAATGAATCCTTAAAAGTAGATAACCTTTCCTGGCTGCAGTCAGAGGGAGATGTGACTATAGAAGAAAGGTCATAGGAATGTACATTTATGGCTTTGACGATGGAAGAAGAGAGCCCCTAGAAGCTGGAAAAGGCAAGGAAGTAGCTCCTGCCCTAGTTTCCAGAAGAAACACGGCCTTGCCAACATCTTGATTTTATTCCAGTGAGTCCTGTATCTAACTCCTGACCTTAAGAACTGGAAGATAATGAATTTGTGTTGTTTTAAGCCACACACTTGTGGTAATTTGTTACAGCAGGAATAGAAAACTAGTATGTCAGTCTTAGGCTCAGAACCCTCCACTGGTTCCCCATTTCACACTGGGTAAAAGACAAAGTGGCCTGCAAAGCCCCAGCCAGTTGGCCCCTGTGCCTCTCTTGACACCTCACTTCCTACTGATCTCACTGTGCTCCAGCCACACTGGCCCCCTTACTGTTTCTTGGACTCTTCTAACACTCTCTCCACCCAGTGTCTTTGCATCGACTGTTTGCTCTTTATGGATTATTCCTCCTCCAGAAATCCACATGGCTGTCTCTTACTTCCTTTGACCTCTGCTGAGATGTCACCTCCTCAGTGAGCCCTTCCTAATCTCCCAGTGTAAAATAGGTGGGTGCCCCTTGTCCTGTGCATGTCCCATCCATTTTACTCTGCTTTATTTTTCTCATTAACACTTACCACTGCTTGACATCATATTTTTGTCTTCCCATCCCTTTTTGCAAAATATAAGCTCATGAGGGCAAGGACTTGGTCACTTTTGCTACTATATCTCCTTGCATGGAGAAAGTGCTTAGTAAATATTTATCAATGAATGGAATAGATGAATGAGGGAGAAAGGAGGAAGGAGGGAAAGAGAGTGCCATCAGAACACAAGGGAGATCTAAAGTAGTGTAAGGGACTGAGGAAAACCTAAAGTGAAGCTTACATAGATATGAACCAAACGTGGGAGGTGACTCATTTAAGATATAGGGAACAGCATTTAACTGGTCAGGAGACCACAGCATACAGGCAGCAGGATGAGGCAGAGAGACTATTTTAGGCAGTTGGATTCACTGTTTTCTGCTGCGGAAAGGCATGGTGTGATGGCCAAGAGGGCTGATGCTGAAACTACACTACTGCTTGGGTTCAAATCCTAGCTCTGCATCTTTCTGGCTGGGGATCTTGGGCTTACCCACCATCTTTGTAATATGGGCACAATAATAAGCTGAACTTCTAGAGCTATTGGGAGGAGTGAGTGAGTGATACATATGCTTTGAAAAGAGCCTGGCCCATTGTAAGTGTGGTGTGAAGTGTTAGCTAGCATTAGTACTGACAACCAGGGGCCACTGAAGAATGTTATGCAAAAGACTGTCATGATGGGACATATGTGTTAAAACCTTTGCTATGGCTATGCATGCATGACAGAGAATGATGAGCAGGGAAAATAATTGTCTTCTGAAAAGAGCTTTACATGGGACCTTCTGAACTAAGAGTAAGGATTGCTCTTATTTTCAGAAATTTTTGCTACAAAATTAAAGTGAGTTTATGGTTCAGTATGATATAGCACAAGAAGTTTTTGCTTACGTGTACGGTACTTTTCCAAATTATGGGCTCTGGCTCATTGGTGGATCATAAACCAATTTACTGGGTTAAAAAGAGCTTTAGAAAAACAATAATAGAAAGGAAAACAGCATATCTGGAAAGGATAATAATGTATTGTGACATTCCTGTTCCAATTACATATATATAATACTCATCTTCACATATGCATACATTACACTCACACTCACTGGCCAGCAGGTAAAATGTATCTCTGATCGTGGACCCTGGTTTCCCAAGTGTGAGTAGCACTACTCCAGGGGACCTAGTTCTTGTTCTGCAAGCTAGCTGTGTCCCCCTGGGTGATATGATCTTTAAGGTTCTTACGGCTATGCAAAATTGTGACTCTAGATATTTGGGTGTATGGCCAAACATTTTGCTCTGACTGTAGTGACTTAAAAGGCAAAATCCAACCACTGCTTGAGGGACAGCCCCAAGGAAGCAGTTGGCAAAGCACAAGCCATAGCAGAACAGCTGTGGGAGGCTGATTCTAGATCCTGAAGTACCTTGTGCTTCCAAGTTAGGGAGTGGGAGGAAGGATGGGGAGGTGTGAACTGCTTATCTCCAAAGTGCCACCCACCTCTGCTGCCTTCAAGAGCCACATCAACAAGCTGCTGAAAGCTCAACAGCCATGTTCCTGCCCACCCTTGGCCCTCTTCAGCTGCCAGTTATGGAATCAGCTGACGATATGGTATGTCCACCAGAAGACTGGAGGGCTCCCCATGCCTAATGGTTCTCTGGGGAACTTTGCCAGTAGATGCCTGGTAGGCCAGCTGCTCCATGGGTGGAAGGGAGGGTTAACTCTGGCTAGTTATATGTGTTAGCAATTTAGCCAGTGCCAGTGGCACCACACACTCCTTGCCAGTGGCAGCATGCCATTGCACTAGCCCACCTATTAGTTTTGCTCTAACAAATTGTCTAATTGAGGGAGATTAGAAAGCTGGGAGTCAGAGCTATGAGGGATTGGGTAGTGGTGGCTGGGACCAGGGGGATTAGACAATTCGTGTTCTTCGGAGTTAGCTATGTTGTGACCAATTATGTAGGACTCATAGTACATTGAACGGCTTTACATTTGGAGGCAGTGAGGTCCCAGTGCCAGAGGAGGGAGTTTAACCCCTTGTACTCCTGGACTCTGTCTCTTTTCTAAGATTTTACTCCTTATTCTGGCTATTTTTACTAACTCGAAACATCACTGTTCCCCTTGTATTCCTAGAGTACACACATCCAGCAATGTGGATATATAGTTTTGGATTTATAGTATTTTGGCAAGCATTTGTTTTGGTGCAAAAGACTATTAATAATGCCAGCACAACAACATTTTAAGATTGAATACTTCCTTCTCGTGAAACGAAACCTCTTTTAAAAAGACTTTTTGAAGTTATGATTGTAATGTAGATCTGTAATGTAGGACAGTGTGTTCAAATAAACCAACAAGTAGGTAACATTTGTCCTCTCCCTGTCTGCCTATCCCCCACCTTTTCTGAACAACAACAAGCCACCTTGTCATTAGGAAAGATCAAGGAATGAGGCATCTACAAACCATGTTTGTTTAGCAGATAGTTTAGAGTACATAGCTTCTTAGCTTTTCTAGTAAGGTACATATTTGGCTCTGTTCCTTTGGTTGATTAGACTTTTAGAAATGTTTTTAGTTTCAGCCATGGAAGTCAATGGCTTGGTTTTATCTATCAATACCAATTTTATCACATAAGAAAGAAGAGGAGGAAGATGACAGATTTATTTCTATCTCCTTATACTTCCCTAGCACTTCCACCACGCATCTAGAGGCAGTTAAAGGCAAAAGAAAGATATTCAGAAGAAAATCAGTAAGTGTTCATGTGGAAGGCTGTGGGT